CTACCCACAACATTCCTATGTTATTCAGCTAGGAGTGTGATTTCAGGCACAGCTTTGTTTATTTAGCCACTCTGTGAGCACGATTTTAGGCACAGCTGCCTTCATTTAGCTACTCTGTGATACTGTATCCATCTGATTAAAAATTCACATTCACTGTGTTTAAAGATACAATTTCTATATTATTTCCTACACCTAAAGAAAATTTTGTGGGGTCACTTGGAATAATCTGATAACTTTATTTAGATTCCATGCCTATTTTCCCAAACAGTGGTTACATTTWAAAAATAATAAAATCCTTCCATGTAAAACTGCATAGTCCTCCAGGGAGGCTGTCATTTCTTCTGGTATTTAGGATCCTACCCTCACTTGCCTCTACCCACACCTAAATAATAAAAGTCTCTCCCTCTCTCCACGACAAGCAAAAGCTCCAGTGAGGATCTGTTCTTTCCTCTCTCCCTCTCTCCCTCTCTCCCTCCCTGCCTCTCTCTCTTTCTCCCTCTCTCCCTCTCTCCCCCATCCTTCTCTCTTATTTAGGAATTGCTAAAGTTAAGAGAATAGTTGGTTATAGATTCTTCTTAATCTTAGCTTGAAAAACAATCCTTTCTATTGCATAGAATTCTTTTTATTTTAAGAGAGAGAGAAAAGAGAGAATTTTTTAATATTTAGGTTTTAGTTTTTGGTGGACACAACATCTTTATTTTATTTTTATGTGGTGCTGAGGATCGMACCCAGYGCCCGGCACATGCCAGGCGAGCACGCTACCCGCTTGAGCCACATCCCCAGCCCCTCATAGAATTCTTATAACCTGTCCTCTGGTAGTCTTAATTTCCAAACATAACTGGTAACATATATCTGCTATAAGTAAATTTGGCTAAGTGCATTTTAGATTCTTACTCTTAGACTGCCCATGCATCTGTCCTGTTACTTAGCAATGCAAGAAATGACCTAAAGTTAATGATCTATTAGAAAGGCAAATATATAATAAAGCATCTTCTATAATTTTCTATGCATGTGAAAAAGAATTTTAATGAACTATATGAATCTGAATATTTAAACTCTTAATAACCTTTACAAATAGTTGTTTGAATTTAAAGCAGCATTCCATATGCAATGCAAAACCTTAGAAGCTTGTTCCTAATAGCTGCTTCCTGCCTATAAAGCATAAATAAAATTCTATCCAATCACTTCAAATCCATACATGTTAGAAAGCTTTAATGCAGTTATCAGAATAAAACATAAAAGAAATATATGAAAGAGTGACTTTGTGATAATAAGAAATAGTTCATAAGACTTTTTTGAGTAGATTATGCAAGAACTAACATCTTCTGTTTGTATTCCTAAAAATGATCCACTAAGCAGATTCCTATCTGCATGGTGAGAAGAATCATCTAAAATGAGACAATCAGTATGTCTGAACACAGGTAAATTATAGCATCCTCTGACATTTTAAAGTGATTTCAGATAAAATATAGTGCTTTATTTACTACATTAGAACTGACGGAGCTAACCATAAATAGGAGTAATATATTCTTCTCAACTCTCTGATAATTCTCAATCAGAGCAAGGATCCCCTGTTATCCCTGACCTACAGACCTCTATCTCCTGCTATAAAATTTTTTGGGACAATATCTGTTCTGACAACTTACACTAAAAATGTCCTCCTTTTTACTTCAACCAATGTTAAAGGTATTGTAATAAAATATAAATCTGCTTTTTTTGTCACAGACCAGTTCTTTAAGTGTGGAGTCTGTACCATCTTGTATTAACTCCTTTGACTTTAGACTGTAACTCATTTTTTTCAACCTGTTTGTCAAATTAAAATGGCTCCAGGAGCTTTTAACATCTTAACAACTCTTTAAACACTCCAGTTAATATTTTCAATAGTGGGACTCAGAACTGGACACCAAGAATCCACGTGGGGGGCTGACCAAGAAACAAGTATTTAGAAATTAATCAGTTGATCTGGAATTCAACATACATGTTAGTCAAAGACTGTATTCACTTTTTTTAGTAGCCTAGACATAACATTGTTGTTTTGTCAATTTATCTCCTAATAAAATACTTAGCTGGGCAAGAAGCCGAGGCAGGAAGACTGCAAATTCAAAGCCAGCCTCAGCAATTTAGCAAGACCCTGTGTCAAAAAAAAAAAAAAAAAAAGGTGGTGGGGTGGGGGACTAGGGATGTGAGTCAATGGTTAAGCACCCCTGGGTTCACTCCCTGCTACCAAAATAAAATACTTAAATCATTTTCACTTGTCAAAGGACAGTTAAAAAAAAAATTAACCAATTATTTCTCTAAGAATGCTTTCAAGATGGCATATAGGATTTTCAATCTCTTTTTTTCTGATTATAGGAGACACCTATTATTTTGTATTTCCTAATCTTCAYATACTATAGTTTCAGCATTTCTATTATTTGAAGCAGTCAGACCTCACTTCCTTCCCTCCTTCTATAATTTGAATGTTTTTGCTCCCTCCACAATGTRTCAGGAACTTAGTCACCAACACAATAGTGTTTGGAGGTGGGGCTTAATGGGAGATGCTTAGGTCTTGAGASCTCTGCCTCAAGACCTAAGCATCTTAGGCCCTTTTTATAGGGACATTAATGGTGAGTTCTCTCTCTTCTGCTCTTCTATGAAGATAAGACATTTCTCCTTTCTGGAGGATGCAGCAAGAAAGAGCCATCTTGGAACCAAAGAACAAACCCACTGGTAAYTTGATCTTGGACTTCTCAAACTTCARAACTATAAGGCAAACTTTTTGTTCTTTAAAAATTACTTAGTATGTAGTTTTCTATTAAAGTAACACAAATACTAATACTAAAACACCTATCAATCTTACTTCTGATCAGGGTACCCAATAAATTTATTAAATCAGGAGACAGGTATTTGATCCATCCAACACCCTTCTCCCTTTAAAATTCCAGCTACATAATAAGATGACATTCTTTTCTAGTGATAAAACCRTGAAATATCAGATGCAAAAACTCCCAGAAGTTGTGTCACATGTGAACAAAATTAGACTGGAAAAGTAAAATCAAAGTGTAAAGTAAAATAAGGACCATTCTAGTCATTTTAAAGACCCTGGTTCCAATTGTTTCTGAAGCTGAGCTATACCCTTGGTTCTCCATGGACAYGTGGGCTAATAAATTCATATAAGAACAACAATTAAAAAAAATTCCTTTCCACTAAAACAAATCCTTATAAACAGACATATATATTTTGCCAAGAATCTTACTTATTTCTTCCTCCGTACTTTATAAAACATAAGTTATTATTATTGTAGTAAATTACCACAAACCTGGTGGCTTAAGTAACATAAATGTATTGTCTTCTTACAGTTCTGTAGGTCAGAAGTCTGACATAGGTCCCGTTGGCTCAAACTAAGGTGTCATCATCAACTGTATTCATTCCTCTCTGGAGGAAATGAATCCATTTGCCTGTCTTTTCTAGCTGTTGAAGGGCATCTGCATAACCGGTTCACAGCTCCCTTCCTCCCTCTTCAGAGACAGCAAAGCAGTATCTGTGAACATCCTTCTGGAGTCACATATTCCTCTAATTCTGACTTCAACTGGGAAAAGTTCTGCTAAGGATTATAGTCATTAAGTTGGACCTGACTGGATAATTGAGGATAATTTCCTCATCCTAAGGTCCCAAGTTTTAAGCACATTTGCAATGTCCCTTTTGCCATACAAGGCAACATATTCACAGGGACTGGACACTTAAGTATATACATCATTGAGTGGGTGGGTCATTATTCTGCCCCTCAGCAAAAATGAGGAAAGCATTCCATTTTTTTAAATATCTTTCCATTCAGTAATAAATATGTTAGTAGAAGAAGCCTAAGACATACCCTCCACATTAGTAACAACCTACTAATGAAAATTATCTGTGTTTTTGTTTTATTTATTTCTTAATGACTGAAAAGTATTTTGTAGAAAAAGGAAATTTCTGTTGGTTTTATTTTTATTTATTTTATTTTATTTTCTGAAAATAAGGTTGATGATCCTTACTGAATTTCCACAGCATACAATCAAAATGCAATCTTTGAGAAGTGGAATTAAAAGTATTCTCATATCCATCTATGAGCCTGGAAGCTCAAGGCTACTATCCTTCCTGAGTATAGAGAATAAACATGGCAACTCTCTTTGTTTTACTAATTGCTTCCTTTCCCTAAGCTGCTAGCACAACATCTGCCAGAGTGAAATGCACTCCTTCCATACACCATAGAACCACAGCCCTATAAACAACCTGCACATCCTGGTGTAAGGGCAAGTACATTCCAGGCAGCCAGCAGGCAGTTTTCAACAGGCAAAGACCTCAAGTGGAAATGAAGCTAAACCACCACCCAAACTCTTCAGAGTGGTTATAGACTTGTTAATTCTGTAATGATCTTGTACTGTTGTAACTTTATTGATTTTGCATTTCAATAGAACTGTTAAAGATGACAATTCTAAGATAGGCAAAATGTGGGCAGATGCTCACATTCTCACACACAGTTCTGCCAAGATATTTTTATATCTTTCTGCACATAAAGCAAAATGAAGACATGTGTTATAGATGCATGTTACCAGTAACCACCCAGAAGAAGTGAGTTTATTGTATGCTCATTTCCTGGATGAAGTATTCAAAAAATTCTACTTAGGAAAAATGAACAGCACTTTCAAAAAAAAAAATGCTTCTGAGGCAACTTATTAGTCTTTCTTAATTGCCAAAACCCATTGAAATGACAATTTGGGCCATCATATCCAAATGTTATCCCTGCTAGTTCTAATCAATACAGAATCATGCCACATCTACCGGTTAAGCATGTAAATACAAAATACTGAAAAAGTTTACCCTTGTTAATGTTCATCCATCCACAGTGCATCAGAAAGTCTCATTTCAAATATTGCATGAAAGAAAGAAAAGCAAACAAAAAGCAAACTCAAAACAGACTTGAAACAAATTGCTTGCCTCAAGAAAAACACTCCAGAAAAAAATCTTCAAAATCACTGTCTTACCTTGGGAGATTTAGGCAGATCCACTGTCCTTTCTTCTGCTAAATTGAGCAGGGTAAACTTCATCTCCTCCACTGAAGGATGTTTGGGAGGGCGGGGTGGGGGGTGCAAGAGAGAACTTTCATATCTCCTCATCATGTAATATTGTTCTTCAGTAATCTCTTCCACCAGAGCCCTGACTAAAAGTGGTCCTGTGTCCCTAGACAAATKCCTAACTAACTGAACAGTTATATTCAAGCGACCAACAGGAATTTCCCAACATTCCTTGGGGTTGGCAAAGTCACTGATGAGTAGATAAGAGTCTGTGATACCTTCCTCTAGCTGCAGTCCCGGGGTAGCTGCCAAAATGTCCTCTTCGATGGAAAGATCTCTCACAGACACCTTCACATTGAAGGGCAAGCGGAACTGTTTACAGAGCTCAGAAATCTGGTACTGTTTCTTGTCATGAATCACCTCTACGAAACCTCCTTCCATGTACAGAGGGAGTAGGGCTGCCTCATAGGAGTTTTTGAGGATCTTTTCACAGGCCAGAACGTTCACCACTTTTTTTATTCCCTCACAGAGGACTTCAGTTGTCTCTGAATGATGCACTAGAAACTGKTCCCCGACGGATACAGAGGACAGCTCCTCATGAGGAGGATGAAAGGCTTTGGTGGCCACCACGTGCAGAGGCTCCTTTTCACTCTTAGCTATCTCTAGGTCATAGGCAGTTGGGAACTCCCGAGGTCGCCGCTTGAATTTGCCTTTGTAGCTAGTGGGGATCAAAAAGTGTCTCTTAGGAAAATTGCTTCTGATTTCCGAAGCTAAGATCCTTGAAGCCTGGTACTTTTTGTGGATCATGATGGTTTTTCCAGGCTTTAAAACACTTCTGGACAGCTGATTTCCTTGAGGTGCTTCTATGACTTCAGCCACTATAGGAAACTCTTTGCTGGTCATTTCAAACAGATCTTCTGTAGATAACAGCTGAAGAAACCAGTTTGTATCATAAGAGTCAGTAATATCTTTGACTTCAACATCTAAACTGGGGAGAAGGCGGACTATACCTTTTCGAACTGAAAAGAAAAAATAAATTTGTACATAAAAATGTTTATCAGAAGTCACTCTCCTAACGTCATAGATCAAATTCATTTAGAAGAAATAAGAATTAAAAGGATTATAATATAACTTATGTGTGGACTTATTTTTTTAAAAYTTTTAACATGAAAGAAATCGAATATAAAACTAACACCTGAAAACCTAGGTTCAGTTTAAGAAACAAACATTAATCAATTTCTTGGCACACTATAACCTCATCAGAATCACGTCTTCCTCAATGCTACCTGTGGGTAACCATTTTCCTGATTCTAGTGTTAATCACTGCTGTGTTTATAGTTAAAGTTTTATGACACATAACCCAAGGATATAGATGTGTGTGAATATGCATATAATGTATATGGGTGAATATAATGTATTTCATTTAAGGCATGTTCTTGAGGTTCAAACTTTATATGTAAAAATATTAAAGAAGAAAGTTTTAGTACTTCCAGTAAACTCCTTCACATATAAGGCCCAAGACATACATTCTTTAAATAAAATTCTATCCTTGGGACTAAGATAACATTGAAAAATCATGAATTATAAGGTACTTAAGATTAATATATGGAAATGGATATCAAGATGCAATCTTTTTCCAATTCCAGAGTTAATTTCTTTTTCCACCAGTGCTATATTATACCTGGATAGAAAAAGGGTGGTACAGATGGGTCACAGTCAGGGGACCACTTAGGAGCCCTAGGTTTACTGGTAGGTGCTTACTTATCAATGTGTCATTAGGAAAAATGAGTTTCTGTGTTCTTTCCAAGATGTCTTTTTTGAGACTACAGAGATACTTCAAATAGCATCAAAAAATTATTTATCTGTTCTTCATGTACTACCCAAATAGAATCACGGTAACAGACTTGAATTAAAAATAAAATTATGTGTTAGTATTAGCAAGATTTTGTAATAGGTTGTTTTCTTGACAATTTTCTAACACAAGTCTCATAGCATTTTAATCAACCAATACTGTCTTTCAGTATTCTTTCTCCCTTAAATGTTGTAGAAAATGAACAACTTGGAAAACTGAAAAGAAACTAKTTTCTCTTATAAAACATTACTTGTTATTACCTTTTATAATATTAACTGTTTATAAGTATCTGAAAACACTCTGTAATTTGTGTTATATGGTCTGATTAATAGTTTGTGAAGACAATGTAAAAAGGTATTGTTTTATTTTGTTGAGAAGAAAAAATAAAAAATGTATGGTTGTCTATAGACTGAAGTTCTATAAAAATGGTAAATATTCTTTTCTTTTTAGAAAGGAAGGGGAAGGCTGGGAAGCATTTCTTCCCTTAATCAGTTCATTGTATAAAATTTTGTATCCTTTGACTTTTGGGATTGTTATCACAGGTTCCCCTGAACCCTACAGCAATTTTAGTAACTAAAATTTTGTTATTTGKATCAAAATGAACTAGTTGTAAGAATTTTAAAGCTGATGGGCATCATAGGCTCAAGATTCCTCAAGTGCAGGGAACATCTAGAGAATGGCAGAATAACTGCCATCCAGGACTTTCCAGGGTTTCTCAATTAGTCTGTCAGATCATCTAGGCCCTAATGCAAGCTAGATCCCAAAGTAGCTATGTTCAGTGGGAGCTCTGTGCCTTGAGTTCCCTTATTACCATTGCATGATTTTACTGATGCCAGAAAATGGCCCCAGGACAAAGTATCTCAACTTGGTTTCTGTATCCAATAACTGACCTATCTGCAAAACTTCTGTTCCTACACAGAAGAAGTAATGGTATCATATTTTATGTCACATCACCTATTGATAGCACTTGACAAAGTAGATTTGACTCCTTCTTTTTGACGTATTTCCCTGTTATTGTACTTGTGATTTTTCTCAGGTTTTTTTTTTTTTTTTTTTTTTTGCTGGTTTCTTCTCTTTCCATACCACCCACCACTCACAAACATGCCATTTAGTATGTCTTTATTCTTTTCCTTTATCTTCCTACACTTACACCTACAGTAATTTTATAGAATCTCATCTTTTAAAATACCATATATATGCTTATGACTCCACAAAGTATAGCTCTAATCAAATCATTCTCTTGAATCCCAAGATCTTCTATTTAAGATCTTCACTTGGACATGTAGTAGATGTCTCAAAATTAGTGCACCCTGACTAAAATCTGATCTCCCCCGCCAACACAAACACACACAAAAATTGACTATCTGGTACTTTCTCTATATTAGTTATTGGGAATTCTTTTCTCCTTCTTCAGTTCATAAATCTTAGGGATATCTTTAAATTTCCTCTTTTTCTAACATCTGTAGCCCCTTACATCTGCTCTGCCCTGGTCTATACCTGTTATGGTTTAGATGTGAGGTGTTCCCCAAAAGCTCATGTGCAAGACAATGAAAGAAGCTTTGGAGGAGAAATGATTGGGTCCTAGCCTTAACTTAATCAGTGAATTAATCCCTGATGGGATTAATTGAGTGGAGATTGGAGGGTGGGGTGTGGCCGGAGGAAGCAGTCCATTGGGGGCATGGTATGGGGTATATATTTTGTATCTGGAGAATGAAGTCTCTCACTCTCTCTGCTTACTGATCATCAAGTGAGCTTCTTCCCTCTGCCACAATCTTCTGCCATGATATTCTGCTTTACCTTGAGCCCTGAGGAAATGGAGCCATCTATKGACTAAGACCTCTGAAACTGTGAGCCTTCAAGTAAACATTTTCTCCTCTACAATTGTTCTGGCTAGGTCCTTTAGTCACCACAGTGAAAAAGCTGACAAAAACAATATCACATTATTTCTGACTTGCTTTATTGCAAAGATTTATTCAACAGTTCCATTACAGTGAGATCTTAAAAGAGTGACTAGATATTCTTTCTAAATGCTAATCAATTGTTTCTACTCTGGGAGACTGAAGCCAGAGGATCCCAAGTTCAAAGCCAGCCTTAATCACATAGCAAGACTCCATCTCAAAATAATAAAAAGAATATTTTGTCTGCCATAATGTCCATTGTTAGACCCAAATGTCAATTACTTCACTTATAATAAAAGCCCATGTCCTTACCTGGCCACTTGGATTGCATTTGCTACTATGTTGCCTCACTCTACTTCACTGCTCTCTTTCTTACTTCCTTGCTATTAATCAGATTTTTATGTGGCCTGTTGCCTCTGCCTGCTACATCCTTCAGCCAGATATGTTCATGGCCAGCTCCATTTTCTCTTCAAATCTGCCTAAATATCATCTTGTCAATTAGACCTACTTTTTTTTTTAGTGCATTGTAGTTACACATAATAGTGGGATTCATTTGGAGACCTACTCTTTTTTTTTTTCTTTTTTAGTTGTAGGTTGACACAAAACCTTTATTTTATTTATTTATTTTTAATGTGGTGCTGAGGATTGAACTCAGGGCCTCATGCATGCTAGGCAAGCACTCTACCTCTGAGCCACAATCCCAGCCCCTTAAGACCTACTCTTAATAGTCTATTTAAAAACATAAACATCCTGCCCTTTGTAGGACTGTTATTTACCATGTTACCATGCACCTTCAATTATTCCATATAACTTGCTTATTTATTATGACATTGCCTATTATTTGTTTACTAAATTGGAACATGTGTTCCCCAGGGGAAGAAGTCTTTGTTTTGTCTATCAGTATATCATTGTCTAGAATGGTACCTGGCCGTAGTAGATATTAAACATATGAATTTAATGAATTTTAAAAAATTGTCAGTACAACACACTCAAGTGAGAGTTGAAAGAAATGATCTGGTAAACAATATGAATTCCATTGAGGAGAAAAAGGTTTCCACTGTTAAAAACTCGTGCTATACATCATAGCCGATATTGCATATTTCATTTAAAACATATCTTTAATATTACATTTTATCTTACTTAGTATCCTATTCAATAGATACTTATATTGTTGAATTTCTACAAAATAATAGAGATATTAAGGACTGAAATAGGGGCAGAGTAAAGTCTTTTTCACCCAAGGTTTTATTCTTCAGTTAAAAAAAGAAAAAAAAGAAAGAAAACATTAGAAAAAGTCATGTTGTATGACCCTAAAAAGAAGATCCATTACAAGGGAAGAGCACATGCAGTCAAAATCCACCATCTTCTCAGGTCCTTCAGAAAACTGAAGTCACAGGACAACCCCTACCCCCAAAACTAGACAGTAGATGAACACAGAGAGTCTCAGCCAACTGGGAGCAGAAACCACTGCTGGAGCCCAGCAACTAGTAAAACATAAAGGATAACCAACTAACTGCTAGAAGTCAAGTGTATATTTGCTTGAGAGATCAAAACCAGTGCGAGCCATGCTTAGGAGGACCTCCCACACTTCCCTGAGTCTTACTTCCAGGAGACCCACCAAGTTCTCAGGGTGAAGACTGAAGAAAAATCCCCTCCCCTGTGCTTTTGAGGGGAAATACAACCATTCTAAAACACCCAAAGCACTCTGATCTCCTTTAAAAGAAAAAAGAAAAAAAAAAACTGTCCTCAAAAAATACTACTTTACCACAGCCTAACCAGCTTATTGAATTTTACCAGAACCTAACCAACATGGGAGAAAGGAATCAGCCAACCTCAGCTACCTCCAACCTCTGTATGGAGAAAGAAATACCTGACTTCAGCCTCCTCTATACTTTTACAAGGGGAAGGGAAAACCCAACTCCAGCCCCTGCTAGCCACTTTGCCTCTGGTAATGGAGAGAAAAAATACTAAGAATAACTTATAAAGGTCACATTCTAGATGTGCAGGCTCACACACACTGGAACCTAACTATAAGATTATAGGATGCTCCTCCCAAAATTGATGGCCACATCAACAGGGTTTCTGTGTAATAACAGTATTGTATTTCCAATTGAAAGAATGACATTCAAGACCCTACTTAAGAAGGAGTATTTAGGGAAATACAATAAGGGAGATTCAAAAAAAGACACTAAGAAATTTTAGTCTCTCACACCTATAGCTATAGTAAATTGTAAAAAGAGCCTAACTCCTAGACAGATAATCATAAAAA